TAAAACTCTTCTTTTCTTTCTTTTACTTGTTTCTATACCAACTGTACTATTAGTTTGAGCAGAATCACTAATATTAGCATTGTCTTCATCATTGTTAAGTTCTATTATGTAAAACACTAAAATTGTTAAAGTGAAAATAAAAAATTAAAAATGAATAAAGTTTTCGCTAAAAATCAAAAAATAAAAAAATAAAAAAAATTGATTATCTATATTGTATTACAAAACACAATTACACAAATCGGAAATTGATTCAAAAAAATACCAGTTTTTTCATTTTTAAATTTACTTATTTAATAAATCTAACTTAATATATTTTTTATTTGATTTATTGAAATATAGAACACAAAATTAATCTCTTAAACTGAAACCTAATAAAATATTAAGCGAAGAGCTATGACGAATTAGATCATATAATTTGAAATTTTGTAATGATACTAACTCCTCATCAAGTTTTAACTTTTTTACGCAATAGAATTTTATTATTACAAGTTAAGGTAGGTAGTAGGTATTTATCAAAAAAAAAAATATTAATAATAAAATTATATTAAATTTTCTTGTAATATCTTTTTTAAAATAATAAACTTACCAAACGTAAATACCAAATTAGTTCTATTATAATTAGAAATTCACATGATTTAAAATGAATAACAATAATGAAAAAAGCGACTTTGATATTAAAAAATTATACCTACCACCTAATGCAGATAATATCAAAGGCCTGTTCTTAGCTGCTTTAATGGCTTCAGGCCAAATTTCTAATTTTATTGGTAGCAATTTGGTTAATTATATAATATTATTATAAATTTGTTTAGCAATAAAACAAAGGGTACCTGGGTCATATCTATTATTACCATTTTCCATCGTCTCATCATTGTCGTCATCTTTCCCAGTTAAATTTTGTTTATTAGAAAAATATCGAGAACAACTAATATCATCCCAAGTAGCATTTGCATCCCAAAATTCTCTTTCAGGTATGAGTCTAGTTCATATGAGACAATTAATACAGGTTTTTAAAATACGTTGTGAACGTTTATTAAGCATTCCTATTAGAAAGATTTTAAAATATATAAATAATAGTCCTACCAATTTGCTTATAAAAAATTGGATTAAGTTCGCAAATACTAACTTTTTCATATACAATTTCTTTTGGTTTCACTTGCATGATTAAAGTTTTGAATTGAGTCCGATTAATATCATCAACAAATGACATAAGGTTAAATTCGCCAGTCGCTGTATCAACAAAACATATGCCATAAGCAGGTGGATTATTTTCGGTTGGACAAGACTCCTGTATATATAATAGTTAACAATTTGATAATAAACGACGTGTATAAAATATATTTAAATGCGATACTAACTTTAATTGACATGTAATAAGTTGATATTTCATTAGTCAACAGTCCACTATCTACAAGAGTTCCAGAGGTAAGGATAGAAGTTAACTGACATCTTATAACTTTTTCTTCCTATAATATATCAAATATTTTTAATTCTTAAATTCAAAACCAAACAGGAAGAGAAAAATGAGCATGAATAAAAAATAATAATAACCTTTTTTTTGGTCGCTTTTTTGTGCATCTCTTTGCCTAGTGTTAATTCCATTTGGTCAACACTCACAACTTTATGACTTTTGTTTTTAATAAATCAAGGAAAGTTATGTAAATATATAAAATTTTCCATTAATAGAAATAATCAGTAAATAAATTTATATACCTTTTTGTAATAAATTGAGCTGCCCAATGTTCAAAAGAAAATTCGGTACACTAACCATTCGCATATTAATATAGTCTGTAAGTTTAAGTTCAAATTCTGTGTGACCTCACATTCATATAATTCTAAAAAGTTAAACCAATTAAAATTAATAAGAGAAATGTTATTTAACGCTTGATAGCAAATATAGAATAGCCAAAAATTATTACCATAAAATTTTCCTTTCTTGAAGAATACAACCTAATATTAGAAGATTTATAAAGCATATTATTAATGTTAATTAACCCTAACATAAAATTAAATCAATGACATATATAATTCATATCATACGGTATCCCAATGCTTAGACTTTATTTCTCAGAATTATTTTTCAAATGGAGTGAACTTATCCCAAGAAGATTTAGGAATATACAATGTATGTGGGTCGTAATTAGGTGATCCTGTGATGACGATGATGTTACAAAATTTGAAGATATGTAATAATTGTTATTACCTTTGTTAATAAAAGTTACCGGTGAAATTAATGTAGAATTTGAAGTTAGCGTGTTTTGTGTAGTCAAATTATGCATATTAATATTAATGATAAGGCTATCAATGTCAGTGGTAGCATTAGAAATTTTATCCAAAGGGTTTGCTTTTTGGATTCTTTAACCTTCTTTCTCTTAATAAGTTGCACAGTCCTTTCGATCATTGACAGTTGTTCAATTGTTAAGGCTTCCAAGAGTTCTTCAATGCGTGAGTTAGGTGTTAAGAGAGCAGATATGGTGACTACAGGTACGGCAGACGTGTTGGAGGAGTTGTTGTAAGACTGCGAAGCAGGCAGAATAGCTGTAGAAGAGTGTGCAAAGATATCTACAGTTCCTGAAATTTGAGGATTTGTCATTGAAACTTTCGTTCTTGTCACTGGCGTTGCAATTATTTCTGATGTTGCAGTACCAATTTCAGCTCCGGCTGGCTGCACCCAGGTAGTAAGATCCACAATAATTGGAAAATGTGGCCCTGAACAATGTTGTTACTGTTGTTGTTGTTGTTGTTGTGTAGAGGTTGTATTATTAGTAAGAACATGACTTGTGGAATTTGTATCACGTGTTATTATAATTTGAGAAGTTAACATATTTTGTATCGTATGAATCGTTGATGCATTAGTATTAGAAATTTGTGGGTTTTCGTGTTGAAGAGGCTGTTGCATCTTTAAGATATTAAGTTAATAGTGTGAAATTTTTTGCGAACGCAACGGGATAAACCAAAAAAAAATTCTTTAAAAAATAATTTTTTAATTAGAAACTCCTGAGAGTTATAATACTTTTCGATATATGAGAATGATACCTTCGGGATTTCCATCTAAATCACGAACTTCTTGCAACCAGCTATATCAGTCATCATTCTTTACTTTAAAACCCACAGCACGTTGCTTCATAATAAATAAACACTTAGCTAAACTTATTATAATTTGCATAAAAACTTCAATTGATTTGTACCTTTTTTTCTCGGTATTGCTCATATGAGTTGAAGAAGAGAAGCTTGAGCCATGACAAACAGATAAATTTGAGGCAAATTCCTAAATATAATATGAAACTAAGCAAATGATTTTGTCGATGTAAAAAAGGCAAAGTTTCAGATCGAACCTTCAGTTTAGAAGCAGATTTTCCATTTTGATCACTATGAGATAACTTTTTAATTATATGCGTCAAATTATCTTTCATATTCTCATCATCACTAGTAACAGGAGCAACATAGGCTTTATTGACACTGACCTGACCCCATTTATAAATCAGGTCCTGCATATTATTTGCACAAACCTAAGCATTAAAAATATGGTTAGATTAGTTTTTTTTCTTTCTATCATTTCTAACTTCGTGTCATAACGTTTGAAAATTTTTTACCTAACTTAAATTTGTTATACCCAATACGATACATATCGCGTCTGGTATATTTGATTTTCCAGGGTCTCACCTAGAAATATGCAAACCAATTTATATTATTTTGATGGCTATATGAATTTGGACTAAGTCTAAAATCATACTCCATTACAATTAGGTAAGTTGACTTTTTTTTATGTCTGATTTCTACAGGCTCGGCATATGCTAAAGAAACCATATTTTTGGTTTTTTTTACTTAAAGAAAGAGATTATAAGACAAAAAGTGTCTCATCTACCTGTCCATCCCACTATTTGGTCAGTTCGGTGTGCATCCAAAGAAAATAATCGTTTGTTTTTATTACAACAGCGACTATGATTTTATAATTTAAACTATGATATATCCCAAAATATTAAAAGTAGGCCCGGATAGTGATAGAGTTGAAGAACTGGACAATAGCAGGAATGAATTATTTATTAGTCTGATTAGGTAATCTATAAATGCTAACCAAATTATCCGCATATCTGATTATCCATGGATATATGTTATCTGCAGATTATCTGTGGATTATCTACGGATTATTTATACAAAATTATTTATCCATGGATACTATCCGAAGTAATAAAATGAGTATCTGTAATCCATTATACGTATTGATACACGGATTGCAGATTTACAGATTCAAATACTATGCTGCAGACAGTTTCGCATTTTACATTAGCATCATCAGAACATTTGTTAAACAAATCAAAAATGCAGCAGATTCTATTGCATTGGACAGCTTCGCAATTTTACATTCGCAACAATAAGAATGATCATCAAATAAATCAAAAATGCAGTGGATTCTGATGCAGCAGATAGCCGCAATTTTACATTCGTAACAATAAGAAAGATCGTCAAATAAAAAAAATGCGGTGAATAGCTTCATATTTTACATTGTCCACATCAAACATTCATTAAACAAATCAAAAATACAGTAGCCCTGTTCATTTCTAGATTGGATCAGATTGATTGAAAATTAAGGTCTTGTATGATTGGTTGCTAATGCGATCAGGAGGTCGATCAATGTGAACAAAATTTTT